TAAAACTTTTGTATGATATGCTGTTGTTTTTCCGAACAAATAAATAAATTACGACTCATTTTCCTATTCTCTTTCTCTTTAATATATCGTGTGTGAATTAAGGCCCAGAAGAGAAATTTTGTCACAGTTGATTTACTTATACCCACGTGAAAGCAGCTTTAGTACACGCACGATGCGTTAATAGATAAGCGACCAAAGATAACATTATTTTCTGGTTAAATTTACCAACGATCATCGGCAAAATGATGTGCACAAAAAAATAAACCCTAAATGTGTTTTAAAAATTGCTAACTCATTAAACACCCGGTTTCTGAAACACTGATCATCGTAGATGTCAACTAATCAACTGTCAAATGGCTTTTCAAATTTCATTTTTGTTGCCAAAAGGATGGTTAAACTCGCTGAATTGACCAGAATGATCTTCTTAATGCTCAGAATGATTTGTCAGAAATGTTTCGGGAACCAAGCGTTTGTGTATTAATTATATTGATTGCTAACAATATATTGTATGAATGTATATTAATTTCAATTTGGATTAAAAAATTATTGTTAATTAAATATGGGTGATTAAACTATAATTAAATCTTGAAGATTTTTTTAAAATAATATACAATTACAGAACTTTGTCTCAGTTAAAATTTATGTTACGTAGAAAAAATTTCAATTAAGCAACGAATGCATTCGAGGAGATGCAATTAAACGTCTAATTACTAGCAAGCCCAGGGTTAGTGCAAAAGCGATAGGCTAGTAATAATTTAGTTATGGACATCGAAACTGGTTAGATTAAATATCAATAAATGATTAAATTATTTCTAACCATACATTTTTATCGACTACTTGTACTACTACATTTCGTATTATAAAAGAACGTTTTAAATATTATAAATCGATGCAGAAATATTTTTAATTTATTCGTTATCTTCGAATCTGAGTCCGTTAATCCGCCATCTAAAATGGGTGTTAAATTTTTTTAAATCAATTGATAAAAAAATTATTACAATATAGAACTTCTAAGTGTACAACCCTAAAAACTCGTACCCAACCCTTTTATTTGTAATTAACGCAACAAGTTAAAATGAAACTCTAAGACGAAATCCTACTGTTACATAAGAGGCAAATACTGCAGCTCCTAAAGTTTTATGTCTGGTCGGTGGTGATAATTACCATCGGAATCGATTAAAAGTAGTAGAGTATCAGCCTATATACGTCCCACAGCTGGGCAAAGGCCTCCTCTGTACAGACAGTATCATGGCATAGTCCACCACGCGGCCCCACTGCGGATTGGCGGACTTCACATCTCTTCTAAATATTTTTAAATTATTTCGAAGATATATAGGTTCCCTCACGTTGTTTTCCTTCGTCGCTGAGAACGTGATAATTCGGCACTTAAAATTAACAATTTCATTGGTGCGTACCGGGAATCGAAAGAGGTTGCTCGAGTATATTGAATAAAAGGCGAGCGCCCAGACAATAAGGCTATCACGACTCAGTATCGACTGCCGCGATAAAAGAATAAAATGAAACAATGTTAAACGAATCATTACCGGAGTTGCGACTTCGTTCGTTTCGATTTGTCAACCGGCCTTTCTATACTCTCCAGTGCGACACTACTTAGGCCCCGTTCTCACGGAGCGTGATCGGCCGCTTTCCAGCGTACGATACGCGGCTAATTTTACGAGCCACTTAGTGCGGCCGCGCCCTAATGAGCTATCGGCATTACGTCCGACCTAAGCCTCGCGAATTGCAATATAACATGTAACATTAATAACTACATAGACTATAAACATAATACTTAGCTTGTATCAGTTGAGTAGAGCAGTTGTTATGCTGTTGGCTTGGGCGTCGGTGATCGTGGGTTCGTTTCCCACACGGGACAAGTACCCACAAACGATTGTTCCGGATCTGGGTTTATGTTTCCCGAGGAGGTTTGACGTCAGGAAGGCAATTGGTCGTAAAAACATAGCCAAAACCGTTTACAACATGATCCACAAGTTAAGCCAATGCCACCTATGAGGGATAATATAACGGGACAAGGGTAGGAGGATCATGTTGATATTTTAAAGTTCCGACGATCACCTGTTTAACGCAATCAACTTTTATGTGATTAATGTATCAAAAACTTTTCAAATATCGTAATGGTAAGATCCAGATAATCACCGTTCCTTATTTCACTTTAAATATAAAAGCCAATATGATGACAATCCTGAGTAAGAGAGAAAATTCGTGTACACAAAACGTACATACAATCATCTAGGCCTGGATCAATCATCTGTACCACAGCCAGGACGACCGACATTGTAGCCTATTTGCATAGCAAGTGCTTCAACCCACTCGTTATATAATGAGAGAAGATGACAAACGAGCAAGTCCACCTGATTGAAGTTGAAGGTGCATTGACGACATTACAAATAGTCTAGTTACCTCCCGAACTAGATGAAATGTCTTAAATAACGCTTGGTGACTCACTCGATATCTTGGTGGCATCTAAATCCTTTATTACTCTGATAATTTTAGTCCGATATCCTTAGCACAGACTGTGCTACAAAATACATCGGTTGGACATTGGATATTAGATATAAATTTTACAGATGATATAGGTTTCCCTATACTATGAATGACACAATATTATAGTTAAGTTCCTTGCTTCACCGAGGCCTTCATAAAAATGCAGCCATGAGTATTGCATCCAAATTTTCTTTACGTATACGGACTGGTAAATAAAATCCGTTATAATTTAGCGGTACCACCGAAATTGGAAATCAGTTTTTAATTTTATCTGAAATTAAAGGAAACGTCCCAATATGTATCCCAATGTCGGAATACACAATCATTACGAAAAAAAATTAAAAAAAAATTAAAAAATCCAAACAGACTAAAAACTGGAAGGTCCTAATATAAACAAAGCTAAAGTTCACCTTGCGAGCGCCTCTCGATCGTAAATCTTTGCACTGCATATTCCATTTGCATAGAATCAGCGGCGTGCGGCTGAGGGATCGGTCAATGAAATAAAGTCACCGCATTATAGACGCGTGAAGCCCGAACCACCCATTGCCGCGATAGGTCCTAATAAAATACGGAGAAAACGACATCGTCGCTAAATAAAGCGGACACATTTATATACTTTCGCGCCGGGGAACACGAGCCGGACTAAAATGCCGCGGGACGCCGCGTAATTACAATTAAAATAGTGTTATTACATCGATGAATAGTGCTGTACCCTGTAATTCTACGCTTATGACGCGGACGGTCTCGTGGAAATTGGACGTCGCAAAGTCTCCCGATCGTGGGAACATCCCGAGTTGGTATCATATTATCATGATTCGACGCCCTCGGACCACCGAAGGGTTGCAAATGCTGAGCTGACCCAACAGAAAAGCGTGGGCGCTTTTTATTTTACGGTGAAAAGGTGGCAAGAAAGCACTCGGTTCATCCGATAATTATATTAATCTAATACATAAAATTCTCGTGTCACGCTGTTTGTAATTGAACTCCTCCGAAACGGATCGACCGATTTTCGTGAAATTTTGGGTGCATATCGGCCAGGGTGGAGAATCAGACCACATATTTTTCATCACCCTAAATGTTAAGGGTGGTCCACCCCAAAAATTTTACGAATTCCTTAGAAATAATTTATACGGCAACACAACGTTTGCCGGTTCAGCTAGTTTATTTATACAATCAATACAAAAGAAGAAAGTACTTATTATAATGGCATTTATAAAACTGGAAGAGATAAGGTACAATACCTCATACTCACTCAACAGACGAAACGCAGAAGTATAATACTTGAACTTCACGCCGGTCTTCTGTGCGGCAGTAGTACTTCGCCGCACGAGACTGCCCATTTGTGCAACAGATGAGCCTGCTGCGTGGCACTACCACGGCAATGCACTGCGAGTATGGGCCTCCGGTTGCCACGCAATTGCGGACGAATCGTTAAAGCGTAAATCATTTTAATACACACCAGTCGTCTTTGATCCGTGGTACTTCACCGGCCAAGCTGGCCTTTCCGCAGAGAAGGTGCTGTTGTTTTATTTAAGACTGGTGCGCGGCCCTACCACAGTGAACTTCTTTTTTTTATGTAATACTAGCGACCCGCCCCGGTTTCGCACGGGTGCAATGTATGATGCATATAAACTTTCCTCTTGAATCACTCTATCTAGTAAAAAACCGCATCAAGATCCGTTGCGTTTTAAAGATCTAAGCATACATAGGGACAGACAGACAGACTTTGTTTTATACTATGTATATACATAACAGCAAATGGAATTGCAGAGGCATTAGCAATCAAATATCTCAACTAACTCACTCACTATACATTTTCTAATTGATTTTGAACAGATCACTGACGTATCTCCAGAGTCCAAGATCCAATGAAATTATGATTATGTCACCGCATGGGAGCTAAACCGAACCCAATGCAAAAATTCAAATCGGTTCATATATGATGGGAGTTCTGAGGTAACAAACATAACCCAATTGGAAATCTCCCCCTTTTTTGAAGTCGATTGAAATATTCAATACTTATTTAGTCGAATTTATTTTGAAACAGGACAACAATTTTATAAAATAGGATGTTACCTAACTCAACAAACGAAAAACGAAACGCAGTATATACGAAATGTATATAATAATGGGTAACAATCCCAAACAACAAAAAAACATCTCAAAAAAAAATTGCCATTATTAACTTATATGCATTTTATATTCGACCAACATCGATGAAATTTAAGTTTGTCTCTCAATCCATTTTATATTTTCGTATGAGCAATTTTCAGTGCTTTAATTTGCTCTACAAGTTTGTGGTTTTTGGTGTCGCTTTTGTGCCAAGTAAATACAACATATCCATAATAATTTCTTCTATTTACGCGATTACACATTATAAATGAAACTAATTTTACGGATTTAAAATTAGTTTCATTTACAACATATCCATAAAAAGTCAGAACAAAATTCGACAACCGTTGTTGTTAAATGCATTATTAAGATCGAAAGGACCGATGCGCCATTTTAGCCCGTACGTGGCGTTACAAGCCCATGAACGAGTTACAGGGAGCCGTGTAAAGGTCAGCGTGTACACGACTGCCCGCATGCGATACACTTCGCATTGGAAATCGGGACTCAGGAATAAGAGTGCGCCGGGAAGTGAGAGCAACAACGGGACGCCAGCTAGAGCCGATAAGTGTGCTGATTTACGTCAAAGCTGTGCAGTGCCAGTAAGCTGGTTTATTATTCATCTCATTAAGCGTCAAATATTCCATAATTGTGACGACGGAAATAAGAGATAATCAACTCACCAAAGAAAGTCTCTTCAATAACACACTACATATATCGTATGGCACAGATGTAAAGGCCTAAAGAAAAAGGGAAGAATAAGAGTCAACTATATCTTAACAAAATAACCACAGTTAACTGTTTTAACATTCAATCGTTATTATAAACAAAAATGTAACACCAAAACGAAAATAAGTTGACAATTTCAGTGTTTATCAGACGTAATAAAGATATAACAACAAAGGCTTAGGTCCAACGACTTAAAATTACAAAAAAAGTCAAAGAAACCTCGTACGTGCGCTATCGTTTACACAACAATAACACAAAATAAAACACATCACATAAATTAAGATATTTAACACACTCAATCAGATATGGTAAGAGCAAAATGTCGTTAAAGCTGATATACCATCGGGCACTCTATCGATATGATATTATGAAATCGCAACATCTACATCGCTACAAAGCAAAAGCGGAACGGCATAAAGCCTGTTGCACATAAAACATTTCAATGAGAAAATATCGTAGGCGAGGCCTGGGCGGGGGAGCAAAACGAAACCGTCCAATTTCACGGGCACTAAATAAAATTAGCCCCGAGCTGACACAGTAACAAAGCGGTCTCAATAATTCGCGTTCAACGAGCTAAACGACCAGACGCACCGCATTAATCGCACGTTCGGATACAAGTATCGACGCTCAACGGTTATTTAATGAAAATATAAATCGCCGCGGTAATGCGCATACAATTCGGTTAATATGCAATAATCGCGGGGTAAGTGTTGGGCGCGTATCCGAACGACGCGAGGTGAAATGAAAAGGGCCACGTTTAAAGTCTCTCTAGGAACGCAATTACAATTCAATTTCCTTCCAAGCGCTGCATGTGGGGCCATCGCTGTTTCGACGAGCATCGTGCCGCGGATAGGTAGCGATCAAATCGAGATTCGTTCGTTGCTTTATGGACCGTTTGTTGATTTATGTTGTGTCGAAAGTCTGTGTTGAATTTAATCAGGGAAAACCTTGAAGAGAATAAAATGAATGAGATCTTTTCTCATTCATTTTATTCTCTTCAAGGTTGACATAAAATGTGTAAAAATTGAAATAATATTATGCATTTGTGTGATGTGAATTAAATAGACAGAAAAAACTTTATTTAAAGTAGATATTATATAAAAAAGAGAGATAATTTGAGTAACAACACTTCTCTTCAAAAGACAAGATTAAATATGAAATATGATATGAATATAATATGAATTTCATCAGACGACTTTCTCGTCTTAAGTAATAGTAACTATTAATGGTATAAACTCAAGTAATGGTAAGTAGCGCATAAAATCCTTTACAACTTCTCCGTTAACATGTTCAAAGATAGCCGCGAAGGCGGTAAATAACCTTTAAAAAAGGTGCATAAAGTTTTATAAAAGCAAAACTCTTAAGTCGACCAGAGACTGATGCAAAATAAAAAAACTAAAACAATTAAAGCCGAAACAAACAGGCTAGAGAGCAAATGACCCTTTTAGAAATGCAAAGGCATCTAAAATCTTCGAGTCGACCGGAAATTGGCGCAAAAAAGCCATCTAAAGCCAAACAAACGGGCAGGAGATTCGCTAACGGGACGCGTCCGGCTATTCGCCCCGAGTAGACGATAAGATTCGCGAAGGGATCGCGCCCATTGCGGGTCGTTACCGGCCCCGCGCTAGATGATCGATAATAATGGTAATTTCGCGCCGAACACGTGTAGCATCGCCCGTCCATTCCCGCCATCGCGATCGCTCCCCGCCCTATTAGGCGCGGGAGGCCGCGGCCCGATGACGGAGCGGCTTATCGACGTGCGGCGGCTGGTGTTGCCAGATACGGTTTCCCAAATAAAAAAAATTGGTTACTTACGAAGGTTTCATTAGAACGCGCAAGCGTCTAAGTGAATAAATATATTTTTATTTGATTTGAAATATCGATACGTAGACGGTATTTAGGAATGAATGATACCAAAAAATTCAACAGTAACAGTTCAACTTTGAAATTTGATGCTTGTGAATATGAGGAAAGGTTGCAACAATTAACTTTTACATACAAAATAGAGAAGGCCCATTACTAAGGTGAGATGTTTTTCTGAGAAAAAGTAGTCATAGAGAAGACGGTTAAGTGATGACCGACGCCAATGAACATCAACTGTTGTTGACCACCAGAGGTTGCGGGATGCGTTTTCAACCTAATATAAAGTGGACTCCGGTTACCTCACTCATCAGACTAAACGCAAAAGTAAGTACTTCACACCGGTCTTCTGCGAGGTCGTAATACTTCCTCGGTCGAGCCTAACTATTAATGAAATAGCAGAATGTGCTGCGTCGGTTACACATAATTGTCAATTATTGTATATATTAATGTAATATTTTTAAAGTGTCATCGGATCTTATCTTGCTATATAATACACCGCTTCGGGTTAATAATAGGAGTGTCCAGCCAAAAGCCAGTACGTGGCTACACTACCTACTTGGGTTGGGCTTGGTGTTAGCGGCCAGTATTTAAATTGTGCATCGATTGCGTTCCGTTTAAATATACTGTAGGATAGTTGTGAGCATATCGTTAGTTTAACATATCTAAATTTGCAATATAATAACTGTGGATGAAATATTTGGTTTTATTTTGCATTTTAATAAGTATTAAAAAGTCGGTACGGTGGAACCAAGCAGCATTTTTAAAATGTTTTAACGTGTACAATTCTTCAGGAAGTGCACGCCCTAAGTCGCCTGGATCACTCAATCAGATTTTCTTTAATGATTCCTCGTGTGGAGCGAATGGGAGTTCTCTTATTCGGCCTCGACGTCCTTTCACTGCAGTCACCAGCTCTTTCTGATGTATCATGCGTAGCTCGCACAAGATCAACGTAAAGTTCAAGTATATAAAACTCTGGTCGTGGGTAACTGCAACCTCGCAGGTGTTATCGACGTCCATTGCTGGCGATGACTTCGTTATCGTGCGAGCGTAAATAAACCAACATCGATTGTTGGTTTATTTACGCTCTCATAATAATAAAAAAACCAGTATTGTTCTATGACAAGCCAGACCGTATGATCATTCTATGTGTTGGTTCGACATCGATCAATTTACAACTTCCTAATCGTGTTTACATAAGATCTTTATCGAGACTTTATTACTGAACGGTGCCGCAGTAAAGTACGTCAACAGCTAAAACTGCGCGGACGCGAAATAATCGCACACGACGAGAATTATGTAAACCGTCCACTCATAAAGCACCACGTAAGAGCGCCGCCGCAACTAAGGGCCCAAACGCATGGCGAGTTTCTCTCGCTGCGGCTAATATATTCACGCATGCGACAACGACAGTCTAGACCAAAATTTGCATGTATGTTCATAGCCGGTCGAAGCAGCGTTCGGTTTTACAAGCAAGCTATTCACATTTCGAAGGCAATCACAAGGGGCCCGCTCCGTGTGAATGGGCCTTAAGGGCAGCGCGACCGCGTCGGATTCGAAACCGCCGCGGTCGCGACTAAGCGGGCAGGCGGGAGGGAAACGAGATCGTCGCCGGCGCGCCGATAAATCTGCCGCGTTTAACTCCGCAGCGGTAAATAAGCGAGCGGTTTCCGCGTGCGAACGGCCGTCGCGGCCGCGGATAAATCTGCGCGCCATTGTGATATTGCGCCACCGTCATGGGAGGACGGGGCGTCGCATAAATACGAAGATGTGCAGCCGTCGCCTTCGACGGGGCCGACGCGTGTCACCCCACTGTACGCTTCGAATGGCACTCGCCCGCTTGCGATCATGTGCGGCCGTGAAAGAAGCGAGATTTTTTTTTAATGTGAAAAAGTGGCAAACGAGCTGGCGGTTCACCCGATGTTAAGTAATAACCGCCGTTGCTATCTTTAAATAAAGTGGGCCCCGGCTACCTCACTCACCAGACGACTACTTTACGCCGGCCTTCTGTGAGGTCGTGGTAATTACCCGGACGGACCTGCCCATTCTTGCAATGCTCTTGGAAACCCTCTGAGCGATAGGTGAAAGGCTAAATAGATCCCCCTTCCCCCATCATTTTGCTTTTGAGACTGGCCGAAAGAAGAAAATATATAAAAGAATGTATAAACTGTATTTCGCTGTACGGATCGTTTCCAGTTGGAGAACCGGTTGCAGATTTTGTCGTTCTGCAATTTAATAAATACTCGATTTTGTTTTTGACATGGCAACCAATATTGTTTAATTTAAATTGTGTCATTTATAACCAACAGCTGTAATCCAATAATGTCAGGTGTAATTAAGACAAACGGAAAAAGGTCGTCTACAGTTTTATTTCACTAAAATTAAAATATGCATTTTGGAAATTTCTACGAATATTTTTAAAATATTATTTAGCTTAACAACTGCGCATCGTGATCATGAGCGCTATGAAGTAAACGTAATGTCGTAAATTCCGTGTACTTTGTTTTTGTGACTTTTGCGTTTTTGTTTTCTTGATTTTACGCGAATATTATACATATTAAATGAAACTACTTACGGATTTTATCGCGTTTTTTATTTTAATTTAAATTCCCGACGTTTCGAACCCTTTCCAGCGTTCATGGTCACGGGACAGACCGTTGCGTTTTTTCCAAGGCCCCCCGCGGACTTGGAAAAAGATAGAAGGTAACAATGGCGTATTTCAATTTTTCAAGGAGGCGAACAGAGGTTCCATCATTAAGGCCACGAGATACGCGGGGTCCCCGTCTATGCCAACGCGGTTATTATCCCATATGATATTACACACCGTCGTTTGTCAGGAGCGATGGGGCCGTCACAACGTTCAGCATTAATTTCATTACGGCGCTGTTAATCAAGCGAGCGCCTCGAGTGTGTGCAGCGTACCTACTACAGAACTCAGTCTATTGTAGTACTATGCTATATGCCATACTAAATTATTGTACAACTAACACTTATTGCATACTAATATAGTAACTATACATAATCTTGGTACATTTTAAAAATGTTGTGCAAAAAACTGTCGCACAATTTTTTCATCACTTTTTTGGCGTATCTTGTCATTAGAACCTGCACCTTCCAAATTAAATGCCCAGACGGTCTAGCCACTAAGCTACTTCCTCACCGAGAGAATTTTTTAAATGTTTTTATTGCATTTGTAGCAATGCGTATAATATAATAATTAGTAGTCGAAGCCAATACGAGTTTGAGCAAGTTAAAATATTGTTGAAAAAAGAAACGAAGTTTATCGTCGATATGGGAATCGAACCCACGTCTTCGGGTCTTTTTTCTACAAAAAAAATGAATGTTCAATCTTAAGTACAGAAATTAGAACTATAAAAATTTAAATGTCAGCAAGTTATTTTTTTTTTCAATATTTATGAAAAGCATCAGTACAATTACTTAATTTGTACCCTTGCCACTAACCCAAAAACCATTAAAATAAAAAATACTTAAAAAGCCAAAGAATTTTGAGTTTGTCCTTCACCGTCAAAGAAGTTTATTAAATAAATAAATGTAAATGATGCATCATAGTAAACTTTTGTAAACACGAGCATCATCAACCCGTCTTCCGCCGGGCAGTTAATCTATTTAAATATTACTAAGATTAATTCGGGAACATAAATTTTACACTCGTACATACTCTCACTATAATAGACCAACGAAAACACGTCTGGGTAAGTATCACAGCCTCAGAAAAAATAGGCGTTAACAAAATGTATATTTATGCTTTTGATTTTTACAAGTGGACCGAAACACTCCTTTTTTGAGAGCAAGCTTACGGTAGGCGGCCGCTTAATCAATTGCTATCTGTATTATAATATTTATTCTCTATTGTCTCAAACGTAATATTTAATTGTAAAATAACCGTAAACATTGCTAATTTAAGGTGCATGGCAGAAGCCAAATTTTCTTACGACCAAATCATCTACCAATATTGGAATCATCAAATAATATAAAATTATAAATTTCTAAATATCTTTCTTAATAAAATTATCAATATCTCATATACAAAAAAAATATAGCCAGCTAGATCACGTCAGATTTCAAACAAAATAAACGTACCGTAATCGGTCCATTAAGAAGCTACGATGCCACAGATAAAACAGATCCCACAAAAAAATCAAATCCCACTTTTTACGGCGGGAGTTAAAAACGAAGGGATTTACAAAAGAAGGGGGTAATACTAACAGGGAAAGAAACATGCAGGCGGAGCCACGGGTTATGGCTAGTTATCTTATATCGATGACACAGCCGCTGATCTCATCGGATAAACATCGGGACAACGTAAAGATGGGAGATACCGTCTGTTCTGTCAGTACCAATTCAAACGTTATCTAAATGTACCTATTGTTAAAAGCTTGCTAGCCCCGGTTTGCACGGGAGCACAAATATAAGTTTAATTTTATTTAAACTTATAATTATTTATCACAATAATTAGAATGTGATACATCGTTCAGAACAACATTGTGGTATTTTACATTAATACATTAATAATTGTAGATCAAAGTCAACGCACTGACATATTTTAAATTGCTATGACCATCCTAATTTCCTATGTTAACAAATACTCAGGACCTATTTTTAGGCATAATTATCTAGTTCCAAACTGACGTAGGGTCACGCAACAGTGTTCACTGTTGCTCGAATGGGCAGGTCCGTCCGGTTACGTACCACGACCTCACAGAAGACCGGTGTAAAGTAGAAGTGTTACACTTCTGCGTTTCGTCTGGTAAGTGAGGTAGCCAGGGCCTACTTTATTCAAAGGCGGCAACGTATTTACAACCCCATCGTTGTTGCAAATGTCGATGGGCGGCGGTTATCACTTAGCATCATATAAGAGTTCTAACGTTTTTACCTTGATCTTAATATCTTAACAAATACTGAACTTGAATATTAACAACTTTAATAACGACAAGCAGCACTAGTGGTTATATCAGCGTCCGGGAACGCAGCCGGAATCCAAGTGACCACTGCTCCATGCGACCATGTGTCCTTTGGCTCGAGTAGATAGCGTCATATCCGGTATAGTGTTGCCAGCGCCAACAATCGGCCGTCCTGTATCACGCCTTCGTCCTCGAATGGCGTTATAGTCTGGTACAAGTAACCTTCATAAAATTAACACCTTACCCTGTGGCTGATCCCTCAACTGGAATGCATATCACCACGTTCAAAACACTTACCCTGTGGCTTATCCCTCACAACTGGGATGCATATCGCCACGTTCAGAACACCTTACCCTGTGGCTTATCCCTCACAACTGTGAGTACATATTATACCTCACAACTGTATGTGACATATTATAGAAATACAAAACCATCATGCTCATCACAAAATATCTTTACAGTGAGGATCGCAGTGAGGATCGAATCCACGTTAAAATATAACCCTTTGTTATATGTTCTTTTCGGATCACCATTAAATAAATAGATAAAAACAAAGTACCGCCTCTTTATAATATCAGAAAAGATTTATTTTTATTATGGTAGATTTAAAAAATGACTATAGGAGATGAAATGTTTATTTCTTATTTCGATGAATAAATGACTTGATTTGATTTAGCAGATCGCGCTTATCCCATACATTACAGTTGAAACCATTTATAAACAAATAACTTACAGGTTATGTTTGATTGAACGAAGAATTCGAAAGTACCGACCTCCGCTCGATAACTCCGCGCAAATAATATCTAATAGCGCAACATTTCACGTAACAAAATATTCCGCGCGCTCCAATCCAGTTCCCTACCGCCCGTGGCGGATTGTCCCAGGTTGTAATAACGAAATAGCACATTAGATACTGTTGCTCAATAATCTCAGATTACGCCTAACAATGTGGGTGATATTTTAGAACGTTTTTGCAATATTTCTCCCGGGGCCCGTTCATTTGTTAGCCGCCGCGGCGCGTCCGGGATTTATGCGCCGGGAACATTATCTCCCTTCAATGTGACCGGGGCTGGATGTATGCATATTAATGGCTCGGCGCGGCGTCCGGCTCATTCATATTTTACCCGGGCAAGCGGATTGCGCCTATTAATTGGACATGCGTCAAGCGTGTCTCAGTAATGCGGTCGTAAGTCAGACGGGCGCTAGGCGGCTGTCGTTATGCCGATCTAAGACAATACGACGGCCGGCGCGCAGCTACAGGTGATGGATGAGCCCGTTATGAGACGGTTATGAGACGGCGGACTGGCTCTCGCAAGTATTGGACCGCATTGGCTGATTTAGAACGCACTTTGACACCTCACGACGACAATGCCGTATTAGACATCAGTCTTGCTGTCGCACGAATGCAGGTCCTTCCGGGTTAGTACCACGACCTCACACATAGCCGCAGTAAAGTAAAAGTGTTATACTTCTGCGTTTCTTTTGGTGACTGAGATAGCCAGGGCCCATTGGGCCCATGAATTTGTATTATTGACGGGCGTTGAGTGAAAGTGTCGAGTACATTTTTGAGAAATAAACACGGTTAAATACAAACCTTCGATCAACACACCGCGTGTCCTGTTACATTACTCTAAACCCTAGGTCTGTCTACACCAATAGTTCGTCATCGCCCACGAGCACGGCGAAAGCAATACACTTAAATATTTTTGTTGTGTTTTTGTTGTTATAGCGGCAACAGAAAAGTTGAAATTTTTGCAGATGATACTGCAAAAATTTCAACTATCACTTTTCATGAGATTCAACCGACGGACAGTCTTAGTAACAGGGTCCCGTTTTACCCTTTGGGTACGCGACCCTAAAAAGACGTGCACACCATATAGTAAAATATTTATAATTTATACTATATAGCAAGTAGACAAGTTACAAGT